ACCGAAAGGCTGCAGTGGTGAGTTCAGACTCCTCTGCCCAGAATGGGTGTGCTCCACAAATGAACGCTTGAATAACCAGGCTGTTAGTTATCAGTCTGGATGACTTTCTGTGGAATCTAGCATTTGACATGGAAGAACTCCTTTCTGGTCTATATGCATAACTACCGATCTTGCATAAAGTTCTTGGGTGCAGGCTAGACAATTGCCTTGATAAATGTATTTTCCCATATTTATGTCAGATAATTTTACATTTTTGCTGCAGTTACCATTAAGATTTGGGGGCCATGATGTCTTTTTATACATTTATAGTTCTAAATATTTAAGAATGAGATTTAATGATTATAACTATACCGTAATGTACTACCTCTTGGCCTCTAATTTAGAGGTATTTATCTGATAACTTTGTATTTTGAACTCAAATCTCTCCTAGCTCCAGTCACAGCTCGAGTAGGAACTTGGGAGTTCGCTGCTGATGCCCTTGCTGAGCTCTCCCAAGTTTCTCCATTTTCTCAGTGTTTGTTCTCTAATTATTTTCTCCAGAAGGGTTGAAATAATACACCTTATTTGGGGGGTTTGAAACAGCTGTTTTTTTGACTTCATTCTACATTCATCTGTAGATTCAATTGTGTTATCCTTGAAAACTGAGGATTGCTGTGGAGAGGTTTGGAACCATCCTGATTTTTAATCCAATACAAATGTGTCAATGACTTTTTGCCTTTCGACCTCACGCCTGTACTTTTGGGAGAGAATGTATTTGGTATTATCTAAAATGGACCAAGGATTCTGGGGTGTGTGTCCCTTCAATGCATAGATTTGTTTCCTTTGAAGCAAATTCTGTCAAATGGTATCCTTAATTAATCACTGTATTACTACCAGGCCTTCTTCCATAAGGAATTCAAATAAGCATACAGGGCTCCTGCCCCTCCTACTGGAGCCCATTAGCTTTCCTCTTAGTTCATTTCCTTTGTCTTTTTTCATCTCTCTGTGCTGCTCGCAGCCGTCTCCCAGCTCTTCTGCCTTGGGAGCTGAGTCTTGCCTGCATTTCTGTGCTGGGTCATTTTCCTTCCACTTTCCCCTGAGTTCTTTCTGCTCACTTTTCATTCTTTCTGCAACACGATCATTTCCTGAATTTCTTCATTTCTTCTCTTTGGTTTGCTTTAAAAAGTAAGAATGAAGACGAATGAACCAATAGCATCCTTTGATTTACTTTTGATTCCTTGTGTCCTACTATTTCCACGTGGTGAAGGCTCTGCGATGGATGGTAGTCTTCCCTCTTTTAAAGCGGTGACTCTTTAGAGACACCTTGTATGGTTTTTTGTTGTTGTTGTTTTGTTTTACTTTTGCATTTGTGTAACCTGGAATTTTCTGGAAAACTCTAGAGGAGCCGGGTGTGTCCCTGGCCAGCTAGTATGCATGGGGAACTCTCCCTAGGTAAGAAGAGCTCCTTTCTGCCACTGGGCTTCCAAGCACAAGCTGTGCCAGCGGCCATGGCTGTCCTGAAGCCTGAGCTTGCCCAGTTTCTGACACCTCCCTATATACCATCATTATTTAAAACTTTCTTTACATACCAGAAACTTCGTCTCTCACCATGTGTCCCTGAAGCAAAGAGTAGAGTCCTGTTGAGGAGTCACAGAACCTGTGATACAGAATCCAGTTCTTGCTTTTGAACTTTCCTAGGAGGCATCTGTGCAAGTCCATTTCCTGTGGATATGCCTGAAAATATCCCATATTATGTATTCTAGCGAAACCAGACAAATACCATGGAACTTGCATTTTTCTCTTGCTGTGTTTCTTTTTCAAGGGTCTCTAAGAAGGTGAAAGAAGCACCCTGAGTTTATGGACACATGATCCTAGCAGAAATTTGTTTTCATCACCATTCTTTGAGAACTCTGTTTTTTGTTAGTACTTTATCTCTTTCTATATTTTATTTACTATCCATACTTAATAGTTTTGGATCAAATTTGCTTGCCATTCTTTCTTTCAAATTTTCCCCAACCTCTCACCCCTTTTCTCTTCCAACTTCATGCGTGTGCTCCCCGTCTCTCTCTTCTCTCTCTCAATGGAGTCAAGTTAGTGATGCTTGTAGGACCATGCACACAGAGCCTCTCAGGGCCTGCATTTCCTAAGGACACCCTCTCCCACTCCAGCAGTCATCGGCTGCCAACAGCCCCTGAGATGGAGTTTGACCCCTTCCCATCAGTGATAGTGTTCTGTTAGCTTGTTGTTGTGTGTTTGGTTCATGCAGTCACAGCTGCTGTGAGGTCAAGTGTGTAATTAACTGTCATGTATAGCTCCATATGTTTCGTTACAGACATCTACTACCACTGGCTATTTATAATCTTTGAACCACCCCTTTCACTGTGATCTCAGAACTTCAGTGGGAGGTAGTATTCAGTTGATGAGCCTCTTAAAGCTGAGCACACCACAATCTCTTACTGCCATCATGTTGACTTGAAGTAGGCTTCTGTATGAATCACAATTTACTGTAAACACAAGTTCCTCTGTTGGGGGTTGAGAGATAACCACTGGGGCAATAGTGGCATGAGTGTTACAGGAGTGGCCAAACACTTTTTCACTTGATTTAAAGCCTGCTCTGCAAGATGGAACTCATGCCTGGTATAATTAACTGGGTCAAAAGATCCATGGCTGGCTGGTCCATAGGCCTTACAGGAGAACCTATTAAACAGCTATGGTTAAAACAAAACAAAAAAAACTAAACACAGAATTTTATGTTTGATAAATGTTGGAACTGTTTCTCTGGAATCCACTCTTTTTTGAAGTGCTGTAGTTGACTCTTATCTCTCATTAATGTTAGGCGAGCACTCTGACTCTGAGCCAGTTTTCCAGGCACATCTGTGGCTATAAATGTTTGGAATAAACCAAAATTCAATTGTCATACTATCAAATCCATTTCATTTTGCTGTTTGTGTTTAATACTAAAATGACTTTTCCTATAATACTGTTGATAAATGGTAACACAGATTCCATAGAGATAGTTCTTATAGGTTCATTTTTCAGACTTAGCTTTTTAATTGATCATAAATATATTCATGTGTTGTGAAAAGTAGATAATTAAAAAATTATTTGGGACAAATTTTTGTATTAATTATAATTTTTATATTAATTATCTATAAAATTAAATACCTTTAATTAAACATTTATATGAAGCTTAATTCTATACTTAAATTGTGTTATGCCTTACCTATTTGATTTTATAACATTCTCATTTTTATTATAATGTTATGTGTTTAATATAACTTTACCACCTCATCTTCTTTACTCAAATACTACCCTTCTATATTATGATTTTTTTTTTTTACCTGAAAAGTTTTCCTCAACTTGGAGATATCCATTGTCTGTCTATGAAGGGGTATGAAGCTATAAATATAGTTTAAGTAAATATATAAAGATATACATATGATGGAAATTAGATTATATTTTGAAACACCTAGCTACTTATTTAAGTGCATAGAATATTAAAATAAAAGATAACAAGTGGTTTTGAACAGCTTTTCCTCTACCTCCCTCTATTAGCCTTCATCCAAGTCATCAAAATATTTACCTCACTTGCTACTGGTAGTTGTGAAGAGCAGAGAATTTTTTTTAATTTTTAATAAATATTGTTTTTAATCTCTGCATGTATCCTAAACTGGTTACCTAAGTTCTATCTTTTCTAAATACATCTTAATGACAGGCTGGATACCAGAGGGTATTTACCTCCTGAGTAAAGCGCTCACTGCATAAGCCTGAGGATCAGAGTTTGGTCCCCTGAACCCACATAAGTAGAAGGAGAGAGGTGACTCCACAGGGTTGTCCCATGCTCTCACTGTTGCATATGGACACCTGAACATCATACATGTATTCACATACAACAACGATAAAATAAAAGTTTAAAGAGTTAAATACCAGAGGTAAGGAGGAGCCGAAAGCTAAGGAGATGATTGGGTAAATAAAAGAAGACAAGTGAGAACTTGATGCTACCAGATCACAAAAGTATGAGATATTTTATGCATTATAACACATTATGTCCAAGATAAATGACAACAGCCATAAACCAATAGCAGGAGTCAGAAGTGCTAATGCACTGGACAGCATTTGTTGTTTGTCCAGCTCTGTGCAGGGTTCCAACAGCATTTCTTCAAATTCTTCATAACCAGTATGATATAGAAAGATTCAAGGCCTCAGCAAACTAGAATGTGGACGAGCTGAAAGTCTGCATAAAGTGGAGCCCAGTGCAGGACTCACACCTTGATCATCTGAAGTCTCTTCTCCTGGCTACCACTGTGCCTCTCTGAAAGGCTTCTCAGGTAAGACAGTATCCTGGAGAACTGCACTCTGCAAACAGAAGTGGCCTTAACTGTACTTTCCATATGTTGCCAAAGCTGCTGCAGAGCACCAGCTGTCTCCCATAATCCTCCTTTTCTTATGGGGTGTTCATGTCAGGAGACAGAGATGAAGGTATGGCAGGCAAGTCAGACAAGCCATGAGCCACCAAGTGAAAGTTCAAATACATATTAACTAGATAGTTAAACTCAGTGGCATGCTCTTGATAAGCTTGGGCTTTATCAAAAAGAAAACCACAGAACCCTGTCCACATGATGTTTATATTCCAGCCAAGGGGAAGCAGGAAAACAGCAGTAAACAGAAAAATCAGGCCATGAGTTAACCACGAAGCAGAGAAAGAACCAGAGTTGGGGAGAGCAGAAGCTCGAGAGCTCTAGAGGAGGTCTTACCAGGCGACTGCTAGGGTAGACAGCAGGAAACCTATTCAAATGCTGTGTGATTCCACATGACAGAACTTATTCCAGACTAAACTGCACTGCTGAAGTCCTACTTAACAGCTGTGTTTTATCATCATCATCATCATCAGTAATAATTAATTATTATAGGGTATCATTTATTAAGAAAATTATGACATGCCAGGCACTATAGAGGCAACAATTTTATGGACATGATTTCATTTACTTGGCTTTTGTTTTCTATTTTCTTATTTATTTTTAATTGATTCTCTGAGGTGAATTTGCTTTGCTCTTGGTAATAGGTGAGAACAGGTCCTTCCTTGGCTTGCTTTCTATGCCTTCCAGGGGGCTGCACAATGCCAGGCCTCCAGCACAGTGCACACAATGCAGAGATACTCAGAACATATTTGCTGACACCTGAAAAACAAATACAGATTCAGAGAAAAAAAAAAAAAACAGTGTGAGCACCAAAAATATGGATGGAGAAAATCAAATGGCAGGGACCTGCCTGTGTGCACAACACCAGGAAAGCCGTGGGAAGGTGAGCCAGTGGTCCTCAGCAGGAAAACAAAAGCAGACACATCAAGGAAGACTTTGCCCTCCCACTTCCCTCCTGTTGCCATTTTCTCTCCCCCCCCCATTTCTTCCTCCCCCAGGATCCTTTTACCAAGGATACTGCTTGATCGGTTCCTGAGCAGCCAGTGCTCCCTCATAATTGATAAATGGAGGTGTTTTCCAATCACCTTATAAATCACAGCATGCAAATCCTTACAGTCAGGGTGGGGAGGGGATGGGCTAGGTATAAGAAGCCTGAGTACCTTGAAAATAAAGAATCCCTCTTGCCAAATGACAAGGATAATTTCTTTTAGCATAATTGCCTGCCTAGGTATTAACCATGAAATTACAGAAGGAAAAAGAACAACAGTACCAATAACAGATATTACTATTTTTAAGGGAAGTAAACAGCACGGTGTATTCCACACCAGTTTGTGATCATTAAATTACATAACCTCTTATGCTTTAAACTGAAATAGCTTGTTTTTCCACTGTGTTTTAGTCTGTTTTCTGCCTCAGATTCTCTTGGAAGTAGGTGGAATATGAATCTCAAATTAATTTTTATTATATAAAAAGAAGAAAAAGGCGATCATATCCAAAGAATAGAAACGGCTGCAGCATCTATCACACTGAGAGACAAAGAGTTAATAAAATAGTTAATAAAATAAGAGACATCTATAATCGTTGAATTATTTTTTCATTCAACACAGTGTTCACAAGAGGGGCTTCTTTAATTTCATGGGAAGCTTTGCTAAATATTAAATATTTCCACAACTGTTTACAGCCAAAATTGTGGATTTTTGTATACAACATTCTATTGTTATGATTCTACCTAAAGAAAGCTAAATTAAAACTGATTTACTAAATAGGTTAAGGATAGCATCCTCATTCACAATTTCAACCCTATTTCATGCTTAGACAGGCAGATCTTAATTATACACAAAAGAATACAAATGTTATTATCATGATAATAATTATTTAGGAGATGTCCTCTTTTTTTAAAAAAAAAATTAAACTGGTATTGTCAGTTCTGCAGCTACATTTTTCAACAGAGTGACAGCTTTGCTCGTCACAGATATGTTCAAAGTACATATACAATATTCAAAGCTACGCAGAAGACCTGGACTGTCTGAGCTAGATACGCAGAGCCAGCATCGCACGGCACACTAATCATTATGTCCTACCCAGGCTACTACATGCAAATACAATCCTTTGTGACATTTTGTCACATATTTGGAGGATTCTGTATTCCTTATCACACCTCCATCTCCTTGTCCTCATCAACAATCAGGCATCCAGAAACCAGTGCCACCAATGGCACAGACTCCAGTTCAGCAGAGTCATAAAACGATGCCAAATTAATGAAAAGAAAATTAAAGATTGACAGGGAAGTAGCTTACCAGGCAGGGCCCAGGCAAACTGAAGTTTAAGTTTACTGCCTTGCTGAGCTGCCTGTGGCAGTTGTGAAATCTCTGTAACTCCACCCTGGATTTCTGTATCCCGAGATGTAAATACTGCATATAGTAGCCAGTACTTGTCTAATCGATCAATGAGTATAAAGGCCCTGTATTTGGAAAATCAACACTTGAGGTCAATATCTATTGTCAATGAGCCCACATATGATCAGAGGGAGAAAACATATGAAGTGTCACAGGACTAAAGAGTTGGCTACAGTACAAGCAATGTATTTTTGAACATTAATTTGCCAGAAGTGTATCTGTTGTCTGTTGCTTCAGGCTGGCATTTTAATTATTTCTGGGACAAAAGGATCAGTGATACACTGAAAATCTGTAGGGCTTCTTGTCAAATTAATAAAATAATAATGAAAGTAGTCATCTCCAACTGCAAACTGTCACAGTCTTTGAGAGGTCTGTAGTCATGTACATGGTTAAACAAACTAAAACGGTCCTGCATCGTATCTGAAATCCTAAGTGTGGTGCCATAAAATAGACTGTGTAGTGTCCATTGTATACAATGACACCCACTGTGACAAAACCCGACTATGTTTAATGACCTTTTTAAATCTTATACCTAGAGTCCATAAAAGCATTGTAATTCAGTTGTAAAACACACTTTAATAATCAAAATGCAGCTGTTAAAATAGCATTGCTCATAATTCTAACTTGAGGCAATTTTTTTTGTTTTTAATGCAGAAGAGCAGACCACAGTTTAAAATTCCTATGAGGTCACTATTGGCCATTACAGTGTTTTTTTGCAACTTAATAATAGATGTTTTAAAGTTTAAGTGCGGCCTCGGGCACTCATAAGCATTTATTACAAATCGCTGGTTGCCTCCCTTATGCAGAGAGGAATAACATTTACATACAGTAGCACGGATTAATAAGATAAAAAATTTGAAAAAGCCGTCAGTCAGGGAGTGAAAGTGGTGCTAATAAAGCCCACTATATTCTTCGGAAATATCAAGCCGTCTGTTCCAATATTTTGCCATTCCCCATGAGGTATACAAATCCAAATCAGATAAGTCTCAAGCCATGCCAGAGACACGCTGCGCCGCTCTCCAGTGGCACTCGGCTGAATCTTTTATTTATCTTCAGAGCAATTGTACATTCTAGTACACTAAAGACTGAAATAAACTGAACATCACTCATCAGAAAGTTTCATAAAACGGGGCCCTCTCCTTCCTTGTTTGCTAAACCATGATTAGCGAGAAAAATGCACTGTGAAGGATGTATCACGGCGAGGAACTGTAATAGCAGGCGTGGGACCTGTGAGCAAGGGCTAGTTAAACAGAACAGCGTCTTGCCGGGTTGAAATGACGCTCATGTGATCCAGACCTAAAGGAGAGCAGGCTGTTTTACAAAGAGGAGGCTACCACCTTCGCTCCTCCGTCCCAGGCTCAAACCCGAAGGCACCAGGGGAAGGGAATGGCAATGTGCGCCCATAATTTCACGTGATGATTAAACGACAGAGATCCTTGTTATAGAAATCACTGTGTCACTCTACCAAACTGCAGCATAACAAAACTGCACATGAAACCATCCCTGCCCCTCGGAACACTGCTAATTAAAAAGTACAGCCGCTAGTGCTGTGGTTGGGGATGGGGCTGCCGGTTGTTTCCCACCCGAGTGAACACTGATAAAAGAAATTTATTTATTTATACATAATTATTATTGTTACCCTACTGAACAGTGCTGGGGATTTAGAGAAATGAGACGCCATGGTTCTAATTTTTCTTCAAGAAGTCTGCCATATTAACTCCACTGAATAATTACTGAAAAGTAATACACTCGTGTAATATTACCTTATGCAAAATTGCATTAATCAAAAAGTGAGCCTGCTGCAATCAAGTAATTTGAGGGTGGGGGAAGGTATGCATGCATAGCATATTTTTCTCAGGGCTTATTTTCCTTGCAGCAGGGTATTACCTAATAGTTTTGTAGCAGGGATCCCAAGAAGGAAGTAAATCAGAGAGTCAAAAATAATATACAACCTAGCCCTGACACTGGCTGGGAGTGAGTGCATAGAAATGGCAAAGGAATGTCCAGCTACTGTTCTGACACCTCCTCCACTGCTCCGGCTCTGTACACAATAAAATAAATCCCGCTTGACCTCTCTAAAGAGTCAGACCATTGTTCCCCACAACCAGAAGTAAACCGAGCCGCTTAATTACACCCAGGAAGCCTTATAGAACCTGGGGCTTATGGCAGAAAATGAACAATTTCTTGTGATGGGTTTTCTTCAGAAATTAAGGCGGGGGGCGGGGGGAGCAAATGTATCTGTGGAGAAGATCATCCCAGGTGTGCATGAAAGGCGGCAGATTAGCAAGGGTTCTTGTGCATGCATAATGTCTCATAAACACGCAAGTCCTAACAGCACTAATGTGAGTGCCACCGTTTTTATAGCCTTTTGTCTTCTAAGTTTTGCGGTGGAGAGTGGAGAGGTGCCACTCAGAATACAGACTCCTGGAGCCACAAGAGGCGAGAGAGCACGCGTTAGAAATATGCATTTCGTGTCTTAATTGTGAAAAGGGCTGGGTGGCAAGGAGGCAGGTTGTGCTGCTGCTGCTGCTGCTGCTGCTGCTGTTGTGAGGATTGTTGTTTTTGCTGGATTCATCTTAGTTGCCGTGCCTGCAAAAGTGCGGTCTCTCCCACTGGCCTCTCCCGGGCTAGCAGTGAATAGTGCCCATTTTGAGATTAGGAGATTAGGTTATTCATCACTTGAGATGCTCCCTGCTGCGCTGCCACTATCCGAGCACAGCCAAATCAAAACATCTCTGGAAGGCATTTCAGAATAATTGAATGCATCATAATTTCCCTATTAATACATATCTCATATTACAGATTATGCATGAAATGTTCACATTATCTGTTACTTTTTGTTAACGTCTTGCTTCTTGCCAGTAAATTTAATACACAGAGTGAATCAGCATGCCATGATGAAGGGATAGGTTTCTGATAGCCATTTTTTAAGTTTTTTATTTTTTATTTTTTTCAGGATTCAGTAGAAAATTAAAGTAAATCGATCATTTTATAGCCCCACTGGAATGGCTACAGGGGCATGTTGCTAAGCAAATGGTAATTTAAATGTACTGTGTAATTTTTCTATGCAATTTACTGAAGGCAGATTTTATTTCTCGGTTAATATCAGATGTTCTTTATCTCTTAGTGCAAGATATATCTGTGATGGGCAAATTATTAATCTATGTTTTAATCAAATGCTACAGCCTGACAACTGGCCTTGGAGGCACTGTAGGAGTCAAATCCTGTATCCTGCCAGAAGAAGGGTACTAATAATGCTCAAATGGGGGCAGGTGATCAGTTCTCTCTTCACCTGTATAAACAGCACGCCTTAAACTCTCACAGAAAAGTGATCAAAGTAAATCTACATGAAATTTAATAAAA